TGGGTGAAAGAACAGGATACAATGAGAGACAGCGCAAGAAAGGGAGGGTGACGTTGTGATGCCCAGCTACGAAGAGATGAGAGAGAGCAAGCAATGACAGTGAGCGACAACAAACAAAATGCAGGGTCTTTGTTATTGGAAAAGGATGGTACCCTTCTCAGGCTAAAGAAATCAGCGGCCCAGGGAGATAACCACCCGGCTTCGTGAGTATACCATGGATACGAGGCAGGAGGAGAAACGTTTTGTGCTCTGGTAGAAGGATGTTGGCAGTACACGTTGAGCCATCAGACATTCACGTAGCTACCATACAATATCAGAGGCAAGTGGCCTTAAAGGAAGAAAACGAAGTTATTTAGCTTATACTCTGGAGAGCCAAGTTCCTGGCTGGGTCCTGTAGAGAGGCCAGCGTACTATGGCAGGAGGAGGTGAGGCTGACTGTTCGTGTGTACATCCAGGAAGCAGAAAGAGGGGGGCAGCAGATCAGGGTTCTCCTTGAGGGTGTGTCCCGGTGACCTAAAGACTCCATTTCTGTCAGAGTTAGTCATCATTGCCGCTGTCTTTAGGCGACACTCACTCAACCAGAACAATCGGCATCACCTAAAAGGGGGTGTAAAATTAGTGCAAAACATGAAAAGGAAGAAAGACCAAGTCCTTGTGGGTCAGCGGAGGTAAAGTCACTGAAGTGTGGACGCAGAGGAGGCCCCTTATTAGCAGTTTGCTAGGGTCAGAGGAGAGAAGGGAAGAGCCAATAAGGACAGGCAGGCAAAACAGGAAGTGGGAGGAGACAGCGGTGACCTAAGCCAGCGGGAGGAGACTTGGCGGGGACACAATCCAAGGTTAAGTGAGTTCAAGGTTTGAAGAATGAAGGTAACTAAAGGAACTCAGAAGAGTGTGAGGTCTGGCAGCCTTCAGTCTAGACATGCAGGCGGCAGATTATTTTAAGCATTGGGCATGCTTGTTCATTTTGTTGGGCTTTTTAACCTTGTACTATTTCCTTTCTTGTTTATTTTAGTAGCTGTCTTCCTGCCCTTCACATACAGTACAGGGGCTATTTTATATCGCCTTATGCTTCTCAGACCCAGTACCCTGCTAATCTGAACTCTTTGAACACTGTAGACGTCGCAGACTGCGCGGTGAGAGCAGGGATTGGGTGTAGGAAACGCTCAGCAAGGGCTGTTTAAAAATTTGCACCCACTGCCTGTCGTATGCTTGGTATCTGAGATTTTCTTTGGAACGAAGATGATACTTGAGAGTGTTACTTTTCTCCCGTGACCACTTGGGTCAGCATCATGACAGAACTCAAGAGAGGTTTGGAGACCATGGTTTTTATAAAAGACCGACTCAGAGGTTTCTGAATTATTATGCTTATTACATTAAGCATACATCCCAAGCCCAGACATTCAAAAGTAGACAAGAAATGCTAGATTCCTCCCATATTAACGTGGGTTTGTGTTTCTTCCTCTCTGTTTTTACCCTCCAAGGAGCCTCAGACCGAGGCCTTCTGAGTTGCTCCAGTTCGCTGTGGAAATGATGTCTTCATCTCTTTGGAAGGAATGACTCTAACTTCAGCCAAGTCCATTGGAAGCAAGATGAATGGCTTCCAGCACCCCTCCCTTGATAATATTTGGGTGCCTTTTATATTTCTCCACACACACAAAAAAATTTACTATGCGGCAAAGCAGTCCAGCAAAAAAAATTTTTCAGCAACTTAGTTTAAAAGTGAATCAATTATTCCCCCGAATAGACCGATTCTTTGTTCGAATACAAAGCACTCTTTTCATGCTTTTCCCAAATAACTGCCCTCCTTGCCTCTACCTGAATTTCCACTAATGTCATTTAATAAAACGAAATGTACTTTTTTCCTACTAGCAGTTTCCAATAGAACTTTGCTCTGAATTCCTTTTATCTAAGTAATAAATCTGTAATTTGTGAAACCTGTTCCCAAACTTTAAAGCTAGTTCTCTGTTCTTTTTGGCATTGGATTTGGGTTTTATTTGCCTCCAAATAAGTTTTTCCAATGGAGAGATTGGGGTCTAAGAATATTTATTATATTATAAATAAGATAAAAATGGAAAGTTCTGTCTAGAAGCTAGAATAGGACATAAATCTAAATCTAACATTCATTTGATCAACCATTCTGTGACTTTTAAACATAAGTCCTTAAGTGAAGGATATATATAAAAAACCATTTACATGCTAGTGAAGGGTAGACCTCTTTGTGTCAAGATCAGACAGAACTGGATAATTTATAAGCAACTTTCAAGTTAGAATATTTAAGAGACAATTGAAGGAGTAAGTGGGAAAGATTCCTTCAAAAATACACACATATGGAAAATAAATATGGACTTGTGAGACAGCTCGCAACTTGATAACCTGAGCTCGATCCCCAGGACTTATGAGATGGAAGGATGAAACCAAATCCCCAAAGTTGCCCCCTGACCTCCGCATGTACTGCGTGCCACTGCACACTGAATAAAAAGAAATTTCAAACATAATAAAAACTTTATATAAACAAACAAAAACAAGCGTGAAGGACATTACATATTTTAGAGACTTAAGCACCATTATTATCCTCAGTAAGAAGGCCAGACAGACAAGGTTTGCTCCAACAACTACCTTCTGTGGACAAAATCCAAGAAACTGGAGCTCCAATGTACAGACTTAGTGACTGCCATTGGCCACATGGACCTGACCGTGGGTATTCCATGCTTCTTTTTTTAAGTTAATGAATTAAATTTCACTATGAAATGAATAAGGACACATATTGAAAATGTGGAGGTGCAGAAAAAAAGAAAATCATAGTTATTTTCAGTTATAGTTCATCGATGTCTTAATCGGACACTTCAGCTCTCTTCTCACCAATAAAACCATTTGAAACGTGAAAACTCTAGTTTCTTCTACAAAAATCTTTAAGAAGATTCACAAATGGAACTTTTAAATGGTTTGTGTCTAGGAAGGCAGCTTTAATTTCCAAAGCAATAAAGCTTAAAGATGTGCTTACGGAGCAGCGAAGGGTAATTTCTTCGTAGGGTTTGAAGTTTTGGTTTCGTGGTATTTCGTGGTACCCACGCAGGTCTTTACTCTCATCTGGGTCCTGTTAGTGAAGTGTTCCTGTTGACGTGGGACACACGATGGACATTACACCAGGATTTGCTGGGCTATTGTTACTTGCTGTTTTTTTATCCTTGGTGGTCCTGATAACCAGAATATAGCTAATTACGATAGCATTCAGCACCAAGGCCTTTCACGGTACCACTCTACTGTGTTTTAAAATAAAATGTTCTAGTGATAAAGGCTATGGAGCAGAGCGTGGGGATGGCGTGTGCAGTTGACAGGAGTCATTGGAATCACCTGGATCTGTGCAAACCGGAGTCTTTCCCATTGGTTTTCCTGCAGGGACAGACATCCTATTCATTCTCTATCTCAAAGGAATCCATTGCAAATTGAATTACCTTTCCTGACAGCATTGCTTTCATGGGCTCCGTTCAGATCTCTGCCTGCCCATCCATAGGGAAGCAAGCATTTGTCTCATGAACTGACCGTCTGTCTCCCATTAGCAGATGAACTTAATAAATGAATTCACCCAACCCCGTCACTCTCCAAGGGAAGGAACCTCGAGGTCTTCTGAAACCTTTGCAGTCATTGCCAAAGAAGGGGATTTGGTTAATGAAGGTGCTATTTTGACTCCATGAACTCAGGGCGTGTATGTGTAGACAGAATCTCCCTGGAAGCTAAGATTCCATCTTATCCTCCCATGAAGTCCTCGGTGACAGATGTATTTGATGGTGATTTAAAGCAGAAAGTGGTTTGAACGGCTTCTATTGCATTCTTCATGTTTTCCATATTATCAACTAAAAATTACGCTGAATGTAAATACCATTATTTTAAAAAAATCCCAGTCAGTTCACGTGCATGTACTGTAACTTATTTCTATAATTAATGCATCCAAAACTCTAGCTATGTCTTTGGATAATGGCAGGAGCACTCAGCTTGCCTACTTTACATGTTACCTTGTGTGTTCTTTATTAGCTGTTCATTATTCCTAAGCAAGAACAGATGGTTCTTAGCATAAACCATTTTTGAAGATTTTGTGTGTGTGTGTGTGTGTGTGTGTGTGTGTGTAAGCATGTGTGTGCATGCATGTGTGTCTTCAGAAGCCAGAAAAGGGCATCAGATGCCAGAGCTGGAGTAACAGGTGGTTGTGAGCCACCCTATATGGGTCCTGGGAATTGAACTCTGGTCCCCTGGAAGAGCAGCAAGTGCTCTTAACCACTCTCTCTCCAATCCCCATAAACGCTCCCATTAGCAATGTTAAGCACCAAAGCTCCATGGTTAGACTCTCCCTCAATTTTCTGTATCGGTGGGCACCTGAGTAGCAGGACTTTTGCTTAACTACTGACTTAGCTTACATTGTAAAGTTTTCCAGCTTGTTGTCATTGTGATGTTTTGTTTTGAGTTTTTAGGCTTTTCTCTCTATTAAACTGAGACCTTAATGTAAACCTTTCAAAATTAGCGACAGGATTCTCAAATTTTGGCCTTTAAGAGTCTTCTTTGCCCTTAGGCTTCTAATTCATTGGTCATTGTTTACCACAGCTGTACCAGTTCCCTCCGATTTAAGAAATAATGACCCACGATGCTGAGATGAGTTTTCTAAGGGCTATTCACTAATCGCTTTGATATGTCTTATCCCTCTGTTTTCCCTCCAAATTCTTCTGCAGATAGCAACCAATAATACTGCAGAAGTTAAATGACCTTTTGAGCAAGCTCTAAATAAATGCTCGGAGCATTTTAGGGACTCTCTCCTCTCTAAGCAGGGCTCAGTTCCATATGTATAAATCAGAAAGAGTGCATTATGCTAACAGGATATTTTAGATGCTGGGGACTCCCAACTTCCCAGAGGGAAAATGGTCACTTTCCCATCGCGTGGATGGTTTGTCAAGAAGTCTTTTCTCTATCACTGTGGTTTCCTTGGTGCTGACTGGCAATGCCTTTTGTTGCAGGCAGAATACTTCTATGAATTCCTCTCTCTTCGCTCCCTGGATAAAGGCATCATGGCAGACCCAACTGTCAATGTCCCTCTGCTGGGAACAGTGCCTCACAAGGCATCAGGTGGGTGGCCTTTGCTTTGAAGAAGTTTGTTCATAAGTCTTAATGGAGATGAGGCGATACAGGTATATATGCCATCCATTTGAGCGATTATGGGATGTTTTCCTGAGGAGAGCTGTTGAATTGAGGGCAGTTCGGTCATTGTCCTTTCAGGCAAAGAATTAGGATGAGAATAAAGAAATGATGGGTTTATAGTTTTCTAAAAGCCCAAGATAGCCCAGACCAGACTCATTCATAATGATTCTAGATATTTTTTAATAAAGGAAGAAAGAAAAAAGAAAATAAACATGCTTAATGGATGCATTCAGCCAGTGAGTGTGGATTAGCACAGTACACACAAGTGTGTCAAAGATTCAGAGTGGTTTGGGGCAGATGATAACCAAGAAAAGGTTTGCCAGAGTTGGCATGGTATCAGAAAGCCTTTAGGGGATGGAGTGACATCAACCCAACCGTCCACATGTGTTGTGGGAGCTGAAGGCTGCGTTCCTGCCGCCCTGCTCCCAGCCACCTGGCTAGCTTATGCTCCGAAATAACAACACACAAATTGTATTCATTTAAACACTGCCTGGCCCATTAGCTCTAGCTTCTTACTGGCTAATTCTTACATCTTGATTACCCATTTCTATTTATGTGTGTATCACCCCAAGGTGCACTTACAGGGAAGATTCTAGCCTATGTCCATCCTGGGTAGGAGCTTCATCACGTCTGCCTCAGAGAGCAGAGCTATGGCGTCTGAGCTCACTTCCTCATCCTCCCAGCATTCTGTTCTGTTTACTCCGTCTACCTAATTTTCTGTCCTATCAGGGCCAAGGCAGTTTCTTTATTTAACCAATGACCTTACTCCATCCTGCTTGGCTGAAGAAACATGGATGTGATTTGGTCCTAGCTTTTCATCGTGTGTGATAGCCACTCAAGCCTTATCTGACTTGATCACGCTAAGACCAGAATTGCAGCTCTTTCTTACAAGTTTCAGAAAATGAAGGGTCACACAAACATCTTAACCACTTCATTCAAAGTAAAAAACTAGTAACACACTGTAACACGAGCGGGGGCTGGGCCTGCTTGTTGTTGGGGTTTTTGTCCCGCCCTTTACCCCACAACTGTTTAGCCTCAAAGAAAATCACACATAGGTCTCCATAAATTATAAGCTATTGGCCCATTAGCTCTAGCCTCTCACTGGCTAATTCTCACAACTTGATTAACCCATTTTTCTGATCTATGTTAGCCATGTGGCTCAGTACCTTTTTTCAGTGGGGCAGATCACATCCTGCTACTTCGGTGGTCTGGGCAGGAGTGGAGGGAATCAACTTCCTCCTTCCCAGAGTTCTCCTGTTCTCATTACATCATTTCTACTTCCTGTCTGGTTTTCCCACCTATATTTCCTGCCTGGCTAATCAGCGTTTATTTAAAACATGATTGACAGAATACAGACAATTTTCCCGCACCAACACACAGTCGAGTCAAGGCCAGAGCCCAGGATTTCTGGGTGGGTAGGAAATGGAAAGTACCCCTGTATTTCCTTCTAGTCTTGTGTCAAGGATCTACGTTCTTACATTTGACAATGCGTGGCAAACCTGTCATTTACAGGTCTTTCTGAAAGTTTTTCTTACCCTTGTAAGACATAAAAGTTTTATAGCATTCGGTTACATGGATATGCCATAATTTATTTCTCTGTTCCCTCAGTTTTTGTGAACGAGACATGTTTGTAGAGTTTTGTGCTATACATACCATGGTAAATATCCTTTGACACTAAAAGATACTCACTGCTAGAAGGGAAGGGGCCCTACGTGTCTTATTTACCATGACTCCTAATGCAAGGCTCAGCACACAGCCAGCATGTAGAAAGTCATTGCTGGATTAATATGTATACTAAACTCTTGGTGCCTACTTCTTTATTACAAAAGGTTGTCAGAAGTGATATTTTTGTGGTAAAGACCATGATATGAATATTAACTTTAAAATACTATGGAATTGCCCAAATGCCAATAGTACTTTCCTACAATTTGTACCTATTTGTACCCTGGCTCCAGTGTGGAGTGTGGTTGGCTCACCGTAATCTCATCAGCATCGATTACTAATTATATTAACTACTTTGCCAATTTAAAACGTGAAAAACAGACTTTTCACACTGTCCTTTAGTCTGATTTTTAAACTTTCCTACTGAGATAGAACACCGTCCTGGAATTTAGCAGACTCTGTGAAATATCAGTACATCAGTATGATACATCAGTATATTTTTTTATATTAAGATAGTAGTGTTCTTTTTAGTTTACAAAACTTGTGGCATACAAAATAGGCTGACTTACCTTTACTGTGCTTTTTCTCCAGCTACCATTCCTTCACTCATTTATTTAGTTGGTGGGAGAATAAAATTCATATTGCCAAGCATATTTTTCCTTAAATTTTTTTCTCATTTCTTTTATGTTTCAAAATTAAGCCCTGCTCCAGAAACCCATCAAGTGAGCACTCCAGCATACCTCTGGAACCCTAGGATCATCTTGGGGGGCGGGCAATAGAATGAAAGGACAGCGCTAGCCCGGGTTGGGCTCAGCCATCGGCTCCTAGGGGCAGAGGTTTAACCGTCACGCCACGTCTCTCCATGCACGGTGCCAGCCGTGGCTGTGGCTTTCTAGCATTTTGAAATAAGTAACAGCGATTCCTACTTTTAATCTCATTCTCCTAGAGGAGTGATAAGAAACTTGTCTGGTATCAAATAAGAATCCCCCCAGGAGCTCAGTGGGGTCTGTAGAGTGATTAGGAAGTGAACCCCTCACTGAGACCCCATTACTAACGTCTGGCACAGAGCTGAGCTTGACAGTGCCTGGCTGTCATCCTTCCCCGAAGGACAGGATCCCTGGGGTTTGCTGGTTAGCCCGTTTAGCCAATTGGCAAGCTCCATGTTCGCAGAGAGACCTTGTCTCAAAAAAAATGAGGGAGGGCGACTGAGGAAGACACCTGCTCTCAACCCCTGATCTCTACCTGTACACACACGAACACACACACACACGAACACACAAGTGCACATACATAAAATATAAAATTTAGAGGGAAGAGAAGATGCCACTTGGGTCAAGGTGAGATTTTAAGAAAAGGCACAGGTTTTCCTTGGAGACAAAGTGGTGGCCACATGTGTGTATGCGTACATTCCGCTTTGCCCCTCAAGTCCTTTCACCTCGGTGAGCACGTGAATTTTTTTTCCCCCTTTCTTTTAGAAGCAGATGTAGGGTTTGTTTGCAAAACTGCAGGTGCAAGAGTTTATGGGGGTTTCAGATCACTGTGGGGCCGCGATTCATTAGCCTCACCGGCTGGGTCACCACAGTAGGAGGAGGGACGGCACCTTGAATTATTAAAAAGTAACCCAATCTCTGGGTCTTTGCTCTTAATGTCCAGGTAGCGTTCATTATTGTGCTGCGCTGTTTTATACCCCCAAGCTGCTAGGCTGTTCTTTTATCCCACGGGCGCCTTTGTGCCTGGACATCCCTTGATCTTTAACAGTTACGAAGTGCCTGCCTTCCGGCATTTGAAGAGAACAAAAACAGGAAATACAAACTGTGGAGTGGTTCGGTAAAACTACCGAGTTATATGCATAAATATATAACTAGTTTCCGTCAAGTCAGGGCTTGGCCTCTGTGAACACTGTCTCTGCACGGAGCCCGTAGAACAGCAGTATGTCTTAGGAACCCAGTGTGTAGAAGACTTTAAATACGTGTTAATGTTGGAGGTGTACCACCTTCTTCATGGCTCCAGGCCAGACAGAATGGTCAGTATTTGCTGAGACAGAATGCCACAGCAACTGAAGTCCCGAGTACTTACGCTGAATGCTTTTTATATACATGTATGTGTATGCGTGCATGCATGCCCCTGTGAGCAGGGGGTGCTAGAGCACATGTATGTGTGTGAGTGCGAAGGCCAGAAAACCATCTCAGCTGGTATCCTCAGGAACACTAGCCTCCTGATTTGAGACGGCTCTCTCACGGTCCTGGAGTTCACCATATTAGGCTAATTCATCAAATTAGCCAGCCAATAAGCTTCAGGGATCCCCCTGTCCCTGTTTCCTCCATTCTGGGATTGTAAGCACAGGCCACCATACCCAGCATTTAAAAAATATTATTTGTATTAGTTTTTTGAGAATTTCATACAACACGTTTTGGTCATATTTACCCCTCCCAAGTCCACTCCCACCTACCCAACTTCCTGTTCTCACTTCCTAACCTTTATAAAAGTCCATCAAGTCTTGGGTGGAGAGCCTGTCTTGGAGCATGCTCAATCTCTCAGGGGGTCATACCTTTAAAGAAAACCCACTCTCCCTCTGCCAAAGTTAACAGTTGCCAATAGCTCCTCAGCCGGGGCTATTGTGCCCACTCCCACTTCGATGCTGGGATTTTGTCTGGCATGGGCTTGCACGGGTCTTTATTCACGCTGTCACAGGCGCCCTGTTGTGTCAAGAGAACATGGTTTCCTGGTAGTCGCCCACCAGGCCCTTCTCATGTCGTTCTGCCCTCTTCCCAGGAGATCCCCAGACTGGAATGAAGGGGCGTCCCTCTTAGTGCTGAGCACTTAGTCTATTAATAATTTTCCATACTTTCACCACTGTGCACACCCAGACATTTTGGGTTCTGGGGATCAGACTCGAGCCTCCATCCTTCCAAGTCAATACTGACTGAGCTGTCTTCCAAGCCCTCGTCTAATCAGGGATCAGCTTACCATTCCGTGTCCTGTGACATTGCGATTGAGCTCCTGTTGCCTCTCGTTTTCTACCTTCCTGTAAGGGGAGTGTGTCAAATGACAGGATGCTCTAGGAGTGTAAAACCCATGCCCATCTGTGTGTGGAAGGGGTATTCTGTTAGAATAAGTGCTCACTTACCTCTCCCTAAGCGTTGTTTACGTGCAATCAATTGCATATGGCTGTGGGCTTGAATGCCATGTGAGTTCATCTGCTTCAGTGTTCCGAAGTTGTTTTCATTCATTCTGGTTTACACAGCACAGGCTGCATTGGAATGTGAAGCATCTGGCCTTGTTTTCATTTAGCCTTTGGTAAAAGTGGACCTCTACCCACGGGCTTACCACTGCCAAAGGCCCCGGCTCTATTTCTACTATCTCTCGGCAATGCCAGAGGCTGCAAAAGAACTTTTGTTTTGCAAGCTCACTATGAAGATTGTGTGGCCAGCTTTTGTGCTGATGGGAGCAATTGCCAGCTCTTTTCATCTTCTAACCCTAGGAGGAAGGTGTAGTCACACTCCAAAGGGAGAAGGTCTGTCCTGCTTTAATATAAGCCATGCTTATTGGCTGTACCCACCATGCAAAAGCTCTACATATACTTACTGGCAGTGTTATTATTATTGTTGTTGTTGTTGTTGTTGTTATTATTTATGGAAGAACTGGAGTCTAGCTGTCAGCTAGATCAGTCTTTCTCAGTGGGTGGCATGATAATCCAGTATATTCTGGAAAGTTTCACAATCATCCTCTCACCCAGGAGCTAATGTCTGATGAGCCCATTCCTCCTTGTCACTTGTATTACGAAACTGGTGGCATTGTCTTCGTACAGAAACATTTGAGTTGCCATGTCCTGTTTTGTGGCCTTGTTGTCAACACCCGGACATGCCAAGTACCCAACAGGTGCTCCGGAAGTGGCTCTACGTCAGCAAGCTAAAACACACACCAGACTTAGCCTACCCACCACATTAGCTCAGCCCACCACTCTGTGATATCACAGGTGTCTTGAGAAAATAGTAACCTGGTTGACTAGCCCACTGCTGGAGTCCATGTTGAGTTGCAGAATATCTTCAAAGAACTTGCTTTGTTACTTTCAGATCAGAAGAATAAAAAATAAGCTAGTGGGCTATTATGCCAGGGGCTTACTTAATGGATATAATATTATATATTATACCTTTTTCTGGCTCTTTGGGGATGGTAACTGTCTCATCCTAATTAATATAATTATATAATATAATCACAAATGTCTCATCCTAATTAATATAATTATGCTCCTTTTTGCGTCTTTAATTTGCGGACCAAAAAATAAGAAATAAAAAATACCTACCTTTTTAAGGTGTGAAAACTGGCGCTGGAGAGATGGCTCAGTGGTTAAGAGCAGTTACTGCTCTTAAAGGGACCCACGTTTGCTTCCTGTATTAGGTGGCTCACAACTGCCTGTAACTCCAGCTCTTGAGATCTGACAGCCTCTTGCCTCCACACGCCTGCACACACATGCCCATACATACATATGCACACACACACCACACACATCACACAAAAATTAAAATAAAATCTTAAAACAATCCACAAGCTAAGATTACTAAGCCTAAAATATACAAGCCAAGATATACAAGTCAAGAACCTGTCTTAAAAAATAAGTTTTTTCAACAAAATCTTCCCAGTTCTGCATTTGTGGAGCATGGTGCATGAGTTCCACCGAGGATTCCCCGGGTAATCAAAATACCTTCTCAACTCCCATGGAGATACACGAAAATCACAAAAACGTGCTTCTCTTTGCTTCTTCTTGGTCTCCCTGTGGTTCCTGTGGAGCCGGAATCAGTTGTCCAAATTGACAGCCTCTCTTTTCCTTTTAGTTGTTCAGGTTGGTTTCCCGTGTCTTGGCAAACAGGACGGTGTGGCAGCATTTGAAGTGAACGTGATTGTCATGAACTCTGAAGGCAACACCATCCTTCAGACCCCTCAAAATGCTATCTTCTTTAAAACATGTCAGCAAGGTGAGCACTGAGAGCCCCTCAAGGGAGGGCTTTGGAGGTGGGGAGCCATACCTATGACTTGTTTTATTTCATTTTCTTTTTATATATACCTTGGAGGGAAAAGTTGGTACACACAGGGTCCGTTAGAGGTACTTAGATTTTCCCAGGCTTTCACACCAGGTAGGAACCTTAGGGACTCCAGTGTGCTGTCAAAGACTAGCTTTTCTTCCCCCTTTTCTATCATAACCTTAAGGAGTCCGCATCTTTATCTCACCCAAGGCCACAGACATCCCCTTTCTTGTTCCAGTTCCTCCCTGCAGGTGTCAACCATCACCCACATTTTTCCCGGTCACAGCAACACTGCCTACCCATGCCCCACCAAATGCCGTTCATAGCCACAGAAGAGAGGAAGTCATGATCACACATGATCCTATCAGGCAGACAGGGCCTCAGCAACTCATTGCATGCCCAGGGTGCCCACTAACCACAAGGGAATAACTCCTTCCCTTCCAGCATCAGGCTTAAGCTACGGAGTCAGTCAATGCTCTAAACACATACCAAAAGCCACCTGCTCTATGGCAGTGGCTACCAGAGGCAATGCCCCTTGTTCCTCGGGTGTGACTTTCAGCGGTGGGAAGAAGTAAGAGTGGCTTTACTCCCTCCTGTGTGTCCCCTACTGTTGTAATTAAGATTGCAGGGAGAACTGAGTGAAAACGGAGGGGGGATGAGGGAAGGTTAAAGATTGTGGGTTTCAATCAATTGTACTGAGAACACTTGAGTAGAAATGACCACCAGTGTCTCACCTGGCCTGGCTTCAAGGGCATGCTTTCTGCCTTGTTTCTCTTTGGTGCAGCTGAGTGTCCCGGAGGATGTCGGAACGGAGGCTTCTGTAACGAAAGGCGGGTCTGTGAGTGTCCTGATGGCTTCTACGGGCCTCACTGTGAGAAAGGTCAGCAAAGGAGTTAGTCCAGCAGACTTGCTTCCCAATGAACGTGGAAGCCACAGATGCCCCACGTGGGTCTTTTGGTGTTTGTAACACATCTCTTGAAATTACTATTATTATTTGGTAATATTTTAAGGGTCGGTGAAACTTTAAAATAGGCTCAGAAGACCAGTTGGAAAGTGGTACTTCTGTGGATCGGTTTCTGTTACTATCATACGTGGCCAGACCTTGGCCAGAGAACTTTGATGAGGGTCTCTGTTCTTTGTGATCAAGCCTCTGGCCAGCCTATACACACAGTGTGCGTTGTGATACTCTCATGAAAGGTTTAGGGTTCTAACGCCACAACTGATTGAAATTCTTCCAATTAAAAATAGCTCAATTCACAATTAAATCGATATCTGAGTATAGGTTCTACCATATCATAAGTGGAAAGAAGTGCTGAAAATAATTTGGGTAGCAAGCGCATTTATTTCAGAGGTACTGTTTTTGAGGTCATTATTTGAAAAGACATGAGTGAGAAATGAATATTAACCACAGGCTCTTTAAATGCCAAACTTTAAAGAAGTCAAAGAACTTGTTTGACCAGAGTTAGCAAAAAGTATTTTTTTCTTTTAAGAGATAAGAATATTTTCTTATTTGCACTTATCTTAGAGTTTAAAGATCAAGGAATTGGGGCAGAGAAAAATATTTGCAGTTTTTTAAAAAATACATCACAGTCCATTTGATTTGAGAAATATATTTTTTGGTTTTTGTTTATTTGTTTGTTTTTTAAGACAGGGTTTCTCTGTGAAATAATGCTATTATTTCAGACCAGGCTGACCTCGAACTCACAGAGATTCATCTGCTTCTGCCTCTTGAATGCTGAGTTTAAAGGCATGTGCCACCATGCCTGGCCTGATTCTGATAAAGATTTAATCAGGCATTTAAAGTAGAACAAATTGAAAATTCTTGCCTAAGAAATTGGCTGAGAAGTTGAAAAATAGCCGAATTAATACCATGAGACAATTTTTAATGCAGCAAAATTGTGTATCTAAAGAGTAAACATTTTGACTCTATCACAAAGTCTGAGTTGTAGAATCGCTGACAATGCAAAATACCCTGGCTCCTGCATCCTATTTGGCCTTAATCAGAGTCCCCTCTCCCTGTAAGCCCTCTGCATACCTCGGTGTTTGAACGGCGGCCTGTGCGTCACTCCTGGCTTCTGCATCTGCCCACCTGGATTTTATGGAGTCAACTGTGATAAAGGTAACAGGACTTCGTTTCATTTTTATGTTATTTTTAATATTTATTTGTGTGTGTGTGTGTTTGCACATGTGCATGTAAAGACCATAAGAGGGCATTGGGACCCCCTAAAGCTGACGTTACAAGTGGTTGTAAGCCTCCACATGGGTGGTGGGACCCAACCCTGTCCTCTGGAAGAATAAACAGTGTTCTTAACCACTGAACGGTCTCTCCAGCCTCCCAAAGATACATTCTTGATGTCATCCCTTTGTAAACACGGTATGTCATATGGAGTAAAGATGACTTCTCTACTAAGTGGGACCCCAGTTGGGGTATTGCTTAACCCAGCGGAAGTTTATTTTTACTCCCAGAGTGCTTCAGTGCAAGAATATACAGGTCAGTGACCTGAGCAACATCCATCTGTGGTCCCCAGACAGGGTAGACAGATAGGGAAAATCCATATGGGGACAAGGGATGCCTCTCGTCCAGCTGAGAAGCAAGACTTGGGCCCGGCACAGTTAATATTTGCTATGAAGGTTGCTGACATACAAAAACGATTCCCTTCCTAGATACTTTATGTTAAAATAGCAGTGAACCAGACTTAAAGTCTCAGTTTCTATGACCTTGTGTAGGGCCTCATTCAATACTCTTAATTGCAAGAGGTTGGGTGCCTCCCTCCAAGTATGGCCATGGTACTTTAGATTTCACTTACAGAGTGGATACAAACTTGGCCCTGAAACTCCCTGCCTCCTTAGCCAGCCCCAAACTCTTCAGTGGGTAAACCTTTTCAAATACTCTGGAAAGTATATGCATTTAATGAAGGTGTCCTAATATTCATAACTGTATTTGCCACAGACTATTGACTTTTTATCAATAAAAACTATGCTTTCGACAGAATAACAAACACTGGTTTTAACTAGTGTCTCTTGTGATCAGAGACTCATTCAGCATGGAGCACTACTGCAGCTCAATTTTCTGTTCTGTTGGTTTGCTTTTTGTGTGTGTGTGTGTGTACACAGTTTCCTAAAAAGGAAAAAAAAGTTGAGGCGAGGAGTTCTTGGCGTGAGTTGAGGAGTGATTGAGTGTCTTAGGCTATCCAAACAACTGTCACATGACTGTCTGGTAACAGTCTTGACAACCGTTGAGAAACCGGAAGCATCACACCGTTCACTCCCAGAGAGCAGCCCCGAGGTTTACATAGTGATGTGGGACGGAAACCGGAAGCATCACACCGTTCACTCCCAGAGAGCTGCCCCGAGGTTTACATAGTGATGTGGGACGTCCTTCTGAATATGTGCTGCTTTCATTGGTTGATGAATATTATCTAGCTTGAATCACTTGGCCCAGATTTCATCCCCTCCACTGTACCCCTGTATCACTCCATCTAATCAGGTCCCAGCCTCTCCCGAGTGACCTGAGACTTGGGCAGATAAGATAACTTGGGTCATAAGCTTTTCCTCTTTGCCTCCTATCTTTCTTCTTGGACTGGGATAATATCTGAAAACATCTGTATCTTTCTTTCTTTTGATAAACCACAAAAATTAGATTTAAAATATTTTCAGTACATATTCCTAAAGACTAAGACCTAGTGACAGCGGTAATTTTTAAGAGCAAGTCAGTAAAATTACTCAAGAGTGTATCTTTATTCGTTCAAATTTAGCATTTGGTATTTATAGCATTTCTACTATATGAAAACCAGGCATTTCTTGGAAGGGAATAAAACTCAGACTCTAGCAGAACTATTGGAAGCAAAGCAAACCTTCAGACACTTGAACTGACACACACACCCAGAATCAATGAAGTGATTAGTGACATCTGTCCACCTTTGGCCATTATTGCCACGGCTTATAAGATGAAATATCTACTGAGATCTTTTACCCAACCTGGGCTGACTTACCCCTCTTATGCAACCTGGTGGCTTTCTACTCCCAAGAGGTCACTAATGCCCAACTTAATACAAACAGCTAACAGGCGTAGCACGATACTGCATAGAACTCCTGGACTCGAGAAATCCTTCTGTATCGTAAGTGGCTGCACCACCGCGCTGGCTATTGTGATACACACACACACATGGGTGTATACGTATACACATATATACATATATATCTATATATGTGCATAAACATACATACGTAGCCACAATATACATCACATATGTATATGCATACATGTATGTTACAGTGTCACAAATACTTCAGAATCATGAAGGAAAAATAGACATTTGTAATACAGTACATCTTATATTCCATAATACTTTGTCTTTCCAATGAAAGATTTTCCTACATGTTAAAAATTCTAGTAATTTTTAAAAAACTCATTTGGAAAATCTGTTGAAACTTCATTTGGTCTCACTGGAGATCTTGGAACATAAAACATTAATTTTTACTGGCTCAACAAAAGATTCTTTTATTATCCACGAAGGACTATGGAGCTGCTGAAAAATGGTTTAATTACTGGCACGGAGCTGGACTTTAGCACTGTACTTTGGAACAAACATTAAAGAATCACGTCCATTGGCCTTGGGGACATCTGCCACCAACTTTAGGAAATGACTAGCAAGCCCTGGCCAATCGACTCTCAGCCACAGTGAAATTTAGTTAGCATCTCTGGTTCACGGCAAAACAACTTTTGGATTAGTTCACTTTCTGTTGCCATAGCAAAACCCAGAGACTCGGGGTTCACAAAAAAGGTGAGGCCAATTAGCCTCACAGTGTGGAATTTTAGTGCGCCATCTGTCTGGCTCTGGCGAGGGCCTCAGGCTACACCACAGTGCTGAAGTCAGCACGATGGTGGGAGTATCTTAGGAGAGACTCCACGGCAAGACCAAGCCAGAGACCTTCAAGTGCTGGGCAGCCCCCTAAGAACTCCCGAGGACGATCCCAGTGACCTAACCACAACCCATTAGACCCCACTTCTGAGTGGTTCACCCTTCTCCATGCCATGCTCTGCCGACCAAGCTTGCAGCACATGAACCCACAGCTAAACCATGACAGGAATGTTGAAAACCTTGGTCAAGATGACAGAAGCAGTTGAACATACCGAGAATAAAGACAAATTGAGAATTGCTGTGATGAGACATCACGGCCCAAAGCAAACTGGCTCACACTTCCGTATCATCATGGGAGGAAGTCAGGACAGGAACTCAAGCAGGGAAGGGATCTGGAGGCAGGAGCTGAGGCGCAGGCCGCAGATGAGTGCTGCTCACTGGCTTGCTCATCATGGCTTCCTCAGCCTGCTTTCTGACAGCACTGAGGACCACCAGTCTGGGGATGACCCCACTGACAATGAACTGGGCCCTCCCTCAACAATGGCTAATTAAGAAAATGCCCTACAGCTGGATCTTAGGGAGGCATTTTCTCTACTGAGGACCCCTCCTTTCAGATGACTCTAGCTTGTGTCGAGTTGACGTAGAACTAGGCAGGACAGAAGTGGGATCAGTGCTTGTAATTCCTCATTCTCGTGTCTGAGACAGAATCGTGTGTTAAAGAAAGACGAGCAGGGTCTGCGTAGCTCTATGTTAATGGAGAAGAAGGGCATAGGAGGAGGGCAGTCAGATTATATAGCCAGATTTAGTAGTTCTATTTGCAGAGTGCTGTCCTTTCTATATCAGCAGGGGGCAGGGAGGGCAGGTAAACATTGATCCTGACCTTCTCTTGCCCTCTCTTTTTCTGGGAAGACGTGGACAAGTGGGGAGACAGGACTCACTCATAAAAACCCAACAACACTACTGCCAAGAGGGCAGACAGTGCTGGATTTCCTAAACTCTAAATCCTGTACCAGAAGGGGACTCTGCTCATTCCGACATGAGGAGGCTAAGTGCACTGTTACCTGCAGCTGGGAAGGGTTTGTCATTTGCGACGCTCCTTAATTCATTTAAGAAGCCCGGTGTCCGCAGAACGTTTTAACCGAACTGACTTCCTCAAAGCACACACACACACACACACACACACACACACACACACACACGTTCACACTGGAAGCCTTTATCTGTTTGACAAGTCACCAGTACAAAATCAGGACATATGACTGAAATTTAAAAGAAAAAAATTCTAAGCACTAATCTTTAGTTTTCAGCTTTTATGAGGCAAGGTCCCAAATAGCCACAGGCCAGCTTCAAACCACTATGTAGCCAGAAATGACCCTGACCACCCAGCGTCTACTCCCCTGGATTCTGGGACTATGAGCGTACACTTTACCCCTACCCCAAGCTCTTATTTTAATCTTCTTTACCGAGTGAGCGAAGCTGTCGACTTTTCAGTACTTCCCTATCCTCCACCTTAAGTGCCAAAGATCAATGAAATTCAGGAAACTGACACCAAGAGGGAGGGGCTTAGGATGCATCACAGCTCCTTTATTGGATTTTCACTGTGTCCATCATCCCGCTCAGCCTCTTCCTAGGGACCTCCCAGGTCTCTCTGCAGGCAGTTACTCCAGACTTTCTCCAAGTACCATGACAGTCTCTCTCTTTAAATCCTGTTTGTTCAAACGAAGCTCCGTTCTTCTGAGAGTTGCTTCCTCCTTGTTGAACCTTGACACTTTGACACTCTCTCCCCCTTATCTAATCCAAATTAAGTTTTTCCCCCTTTATCTTCCAACTTGATGCTTTTGAAAGGTATTTCCTTAGATTTGCAGATTCTTCTTTCTAGCACATAAGTTTTACTTAAAAGACTATTTTTTATATATTATACCTTTTTAAAAATTTGGAATGAATACATTGTGTGATACCCTTTTCTCTCTTATATTCTGAGTCTTTGTAATTTGACTGTTATAATTCGAATTGGCTATTTCAAAGAATGAGGTGTTTGGTCATAACTTTCTTCAAACTGTAAAGTGGCGTGTTTATTATGTAGATAAGAACGTGTTAAACATATGCTGGAGAAATATAGTTCACTTGAAGTGAAATTCTTGCTAGGCATGCCTGCCTGTCTAACGAAGCACCCTGTCATTCATTCTAACAGCTAACTGCTCGACTACTTGCCTTAATGGGGGTACCTGCTTCTACCCAGGGAAATGCATTTGCCCTCCAGGACTCGAGGGAGAGCACTGTGAGATGAGTAAGTACAGACCTCGGCGTTCTCGATGGCCTGGGGGTTACAGACCTCGGTGTTCTCGATGGCCTGTGGGGGGTACAGATCTCGGCTTTCTTGATGGTGGGGTGGGGTGTGTGTAACAGATCTGGGTGTTCTTGATGGCCTGTGGGGGGGAGGTGTACAGATCTCGGCGTTCTCGATGGCCTGTGGGGGGGGTACAGATCTCGGCGTTCTCAATGGCCTGGGGAAGGGTACAGATCTGGGCGTTCTCGATGGCCTTGGGGGGGGGGGGGCGCGGGGAAGCTGAAAAACTGTCTCATGCCTGCTTTTGCTACCGAAGCCTAGATAGGATGGAGACCTCGTGTGAGATCATAGGCCAGTGCCTCACTCCTAGATTCCTCGGGCACTCCCTGTCTAAAAGCAAGGCTAAGAAAGGTGGCGCTTGTCCCAGAGGCTGAAGACAAACCCTCAAGCACAGAGGGTTTTCTTCTGTTCGTCATTGTCATCCTAGAACAGACTGACTCCTCTAAGAGAGTGGGAAGGAAGGAGAAGTAAACACTGCTCAGCGATTAAAACAATAACCCAGCCTCCTAAGTGACTCCCAGGACACATTATACAAAAGGAGGCTGACATGCGGGGGAAAAAAAATGAGTCCACAATTTTCAAGTTCAAGAGACAAAACTAACGGATGAGGTGCTGAAAACTGGGGTTGCTGTTGGGGGTCAAAAGGAACCTTATGGTGTGCTAGGAATGCCTGCCTTCAATAGCAGTGTTTCTTGAGTGCTCAGATCAAAAAAAAAGTTGAGCTGTGAACTTAAAAGTGACACCCATTCCGCCCACACTTTGTTGTCTGTCACGCTTCAATACAAAAAGCTGAGCAATGGTCCCAGCTCTGCCACCTACCCACTGGCCAGGGCTCAGGCCTCTCTTTGAAACTCAGAAGTGAGCCGATTCAGTCCAAGCCGCACTATGACCCAGAAGACAGCTAGCATGGAGGCTCACGTCCAGGCAGGACAGCAGTCATCAGGCGTGCCTGCTGAGGGGTCCTCTTCTGCCCCTCAGATGCGTGTGCCTATCGAGGGCAGCCCTTCCCAGCCGTGCTGCCTCTAAAGCACCATGTTTGGTGCGGCCCCTGTTTCCAAACCTGAGGTAGATTCCAAATTGAATAATGCTATGTTTCTATTTTAACTTTCAACCTCTAATTTATTTGTGGGTTCTTGTGCTTTAATGAGTAGTAGATGAAGTAACCATTTTTATAGAGTTCAAATGAAATCGCTCTGAAGTTTCCATCGAACGTGTAATTAATTGCCAGGATGTGGTTTCTGTTCTTATTAATTACTCTTTCCTGATAAAGACATCTTGAGCTAACTCCCCTCAATTTTCTCCCGAAGCTCAGCCCCAGACGTGGCATGCTTTGTTTACGAGTCTTTGTTCGTGGCCTCATTTCATGACTTTGTTTTTGTGGGCTTTCCTCCGGCATAGCTCTCTCTCTTTCCCTTCCTTTCTTTCTTCTCTCCTCTCCTGCCTCCACCTTCCCTCTCTCTTCTGTCTTTTTTTTAAAATTCTAACTGGATCAAAAATGTAGGGTTTGGAAAACTCATCATAGATCCAACAGCAAGTTTTATTCAAATTCCTTTTTAAAAACCTTCCTGTTTCAATGAAATGGAACATTATTAGACTAAAACAAAACAATACAGAAACACGTCTGTGGTTGGAGTTTCTCTGAGTGTATAGACTAAAGGCAGAGTTGAACTTATTTTTTAGTGGATGTATAGTTCACATACCATAAAACGCGGCATTTTAAAGTATACCATCCTGCAGATTCTGCCATCACCTCAGTCTGATTTCAGAGCAATTTATGACCATCCTAAATACATGCTTATACTTATGTTTATTAGAAAAGTCTCCCAAGGCCCCTCATAATCGCAGGGTCTGACAACTAGCAAGTTACTTTCTAGTTCTCTAGCCTGGTTACTGTAACACCTCCTATAAATGGGGTCATACACAATATAGCATCCCCGCCGCTTCTTTCATTAAAGGTCGTTGCTTTCCAGGACTGCACCTGGTGCAAAATATGCCAGTACATCGCTCCTTTCTGCGGCTGAGTGACATCCAACTGTGTGGACAGACACCACTTGTCAGTTCATTTACCACTGGGGGAGATCTGAGTTGTTCCCACATGGGGGTTATGTGAACAACACGGTTGTGAAGATTTGTGTGCATGTCTCCATGCAGACAGGTTTGCACTTGTAATTCCGTGTGTGTGTGTGTGTCCCACAACATATATGTGGAGATCAGAGGACAACTCTTTGAGAGCGGGCTCTCTCCTTCCACCTCATGGCTCCTGGGGACTGGACGTGGGTCTTCTGGCTAGGTGGCAGGTGCACGTCCCTGCTGGGCCACCTTGCTGACCCAAGTTTACATTTCCTTCAGCTGTTTACCTAGGACCACAAGGGAACAAGTTCACAGAGGAGCTGTCTTCAGATTGTTTCTCCTTTTCCAGTCCATCTCAACACTGCCATCTCTCCTCACTCTCACCAGCACCCACGTTTCTTTCAAGGAGACGTGTTCTACCATCTGTCGGGCTGACTTCCATTTCTCCTGACTTCTGCCAGTAATGACACCTTCTCAAACACCATTGAAACTGTTTTGTGAGATGCTGGTAACGGGGTCAGCCAGACTGTTCGAGAGGCGTCTGGGATGGCCAGCTGTGCATCCATCTTGCTATGCAAGGCTTACAGGTTTCCTAAGACTCTTTAATAGAACTTCAGTTAAAAAGGTCACAGGTCACACAAATTACTTATAGCCTATGATAAATAAGTTTTAAAATAACTTAACAGGACCTTGTTATAAAAGTTCTCTGCAGAAAATAATCAAAAAACCACTCAACATTCCAAGGCCCACACCCTGGCACATCCCTTTCCTCCTGTTGTCTGTGAAGTAGAATTACAACATTAAGTTATCCGGCAGTCTCACAGGTGGAGGACGTCTGAGGTCCTCACTCTGTGAAGACATTATGGCTGGGCGTTGTTCTCACAAGGACTCCCCCATGGGTTACACTAAAACACTAATAAAACTCAGTGAAATCTCTCTTAGCCAACACTCCTTGAGGTTTTGGTAGATCTATTTCCAACCAATATAATGCGGTTGCAAAATATTTTCAGGCAAAAGAGGTCAGTAGTAGGACGCTTTGAGTGTTCTGAACACTAAACAATCAGCTGGTGATAGCTGATGCTTAGTCTTTGAACCAGCTCTGTCCTGACAGATCCCTGCAGTCACGTCCCTGACACTAAGAACGTGGGGAAACCTTCCTATCCTCCTCCTCGGTCTTCATACCCTCTCTCCTGGCTGAGACAAGCCTAAGAGTCTTCGTTTCCCTCTTACCAAGAGCACAATCAGGCAGTAGACTCAGGGGGAGGGCTCCACCCGTCAGCCTGCATTGCTCCAGAGCGATGGATTGCTTCTGCTGAGTAGCGATCACACTGGGGCTGCCCTGTTCACACAAAACATGTTCACACAGAAGAGTGATGGATTGCTTCTGCTGAGTAACAATCACACCGGGGCTGCCTTGTTCACACAGAACGTGTTCACACAGAAGAGCGATGGATCACACTGGAGCTGCCTTGATCTAGTTCTGTGGTTCTGCCGGGGTCACATGCTCTGTAGCACGAGCTCTAATAGGTCTTAATAATAAAAGTCCAAAGTCAAATATTGGGGAAAATTCTGAGAGATCAGAGAGACAAAGGAGCAAAACCACAGCCACCTTACCTCTCCACTTTCCAGCAGAAAGGAGACAGAGTTCCTGTTTCCTTCAACTTTATTACTTCCTCTCTCTGCCCAGCCATATCACTTCCTGTATATCTGTACAGTCCTCCAGGCCTCTATGGTTAGCTTGTGGCTAGCTCCGCCCTCTGATCTTCAGACAAACTTCATTTGTACAGATGAGATAGCACCTCAATGCTTCACTGGAAGTTTGGAGTTAAAATCTTTCGTGTAAATGGTGTTCTTCAGAAAATGGGACTCTTTGGGACTTTTAGTGGCCAATGGGAAGGTGATCTTTGAGACTGGGAATAAAAGGTGGGGCTTGGGACAGAGAATGTAGCTTAGTTGGGACAAGAGTACTTGTCCAATGTGCACAAGCCCTGTGTTTGGTCCCTAGTACTGAGTAAAACTGTCTATAATGGTGTATACTTGTGACCCAGCACCAGGAAGATGGGGGTAAGAAGATCAGAAAGAAGTCAAGGACATCCTTGGGCTCTCGGACAGTCCATATAAATGGATAGCTGTGGCCCCGGGAACCAGCCCCTCACTCCATCCATTGCTATAGCAACCTATGCTCTCATCGGATCTGTTCCATCCATGTTCCTTCCACCAGGGGCATCTCTTTGTCCCTATATATTACAAGCTGTCGTTCCACCAGGGACGTGATGAATCCTTTCTGAAGAACAATAAACAGCGAGCATCAGAGGTCCTTAACCAAATGCCCCCTCCACTCTCTTTAGTCAACTCTCATGTGCCTCTGACGTAATCCTTGAGCAGACGGGAAGAATAGGATCCAGTCGCCCATCATGGTGGCTACCCTCAAGCACGTTTCTGAGTAGTCTTTTCCCTCCTTCTCTGCTGCACCGTGCAGGCCCCTGTTCCTGTCTCCAAGGTTCACTTCCCCTGGTTAAACTACCGAGATGCAAACTTGCTTTCTGATAGATGACGCCTGAGTAAGGCTGTCATCGGGTGTGGGTACAGACAGACCTACCTACAGAAAGAGTGATCTGCAAAAGCCAGAAGTCGTAGAAAATTTCTCGTAGCGAGTCAGACACCCCTGAAATTCTAGAACAGTGTGTGTGTGTGTGTGTAACTGCAGGCATGTATGAGCCAGGCTAGCTTGAATTTTCTGTTTTGTGAAGTATATTCATTGTGGGAAAGGGGGCATTATATATAACATAATAGGATATAATACTACTCAAATAATATGTAATATAATGTATATAATCATATCAACATATTACCTTGTCTCCAAAACAAAAACAATATAAAAGCCAGAGGAGGCCTAAGATAAATGGAAATGACTACCATTTCAAAGCGTGTCTCCTCTCAAAGCCTTTTCACTCCCTTGAAAGATGTAATTACTATTGAATAAAGCCCTGGGCTCCTTCTTACTTTAACTAATTTCCTCTCTACTACAGGCAAATGCCCACAGCCCTGCCGAAATGGAGGAAAATGCATTGGGAAAAGCAAATGCAAATGTTCCAAAGGTTACCAAGGAGACCTCTGTTCTAAGCGTGAGTACCACGTACAGTGGCGGTATGGATGCAGGGTGATTGCATTTAGTGTCTTTGGGTGTAACGTCCATGCCTGCTGCATGTCGTCTGGGCATCAGAGCTGTCCTTTCCCCCTGACTCATAGGCTTCCTTTACTTAGACCATGGGCATTGCAGGGATCCCTGAATATAAAATATTTATGCACATGGCTAAACTCCTTCATTTTTAAATTTTGTTTGTTTTATCTGTTAAGGATTTCTTGAAAGGAGTAATCGCCCACTATGCAGTAGTTTCAAAATCTCACTGAGGGTCTTTGTGTATGAGAAGCATGACGCAAAGTATAAAGATCATTCATAAGGATTTCCCCCCAACTTTAAAGCTGGCTTTTGGCTGGAAAGTGACTTCGACGAGAGAGAGAGAGAGAGAGAGAGAGAGAGAGAGAGAGAGAGAGAGAGAGAAGCCAAAACTAACATATTCTAGAGAACTAAAGGAAAAGCAGCTATGTAGCTATGCTCTAAAAAGAAAGGAACAGAAAAGTGGAGGAAGCATCACTCTGCTCTGTCTGATTCTAGCGGTCTGCGAGCCTGGCTGCGGAGCTCACGGAACCTGCCACGAGCCCAACAAATGCCAGTGTCGAGAAGGCTGGCACGGAAGACACTGCAATAAAAGTAAGTAGAGGTCTTTGGATAACCTGCAGCTCAGCCCTGCTATGTGGCGGGGTCATCAGCGACAATCTCTCTGCCCCTGCCCCCGCACATCTCCTCTCGCAACTTCAAAGTCAGCTAAGCTTTGGAATAGAAGAAGGCATAGATAATGCCACCAGATCCGTTAAAACATCGTCACACATATTCTCTACGTCAAATTAATAATGCAGGGTAGCTCAGTGATTCAGTGTACTGAAGGAAGAATTTGATTAGCTAAAGTCCTCCCTCCCTCCCTCCTTCCCTCCCTCCTTCCCTCCCCCTTTTCTTTAGTTGTAATGCTGAAGATCTAAACCCCACCACCATGCACCTTGCTAGGCAAGTGTGCTGGGCTCTAAACTACAGTCCACCCTGAAGATATTAGATGGACATTAATATCTAATGACCTCTGGTTTCAAAAACCACGTTTTATCAATTTATATATAACACACGACACATGTCTCAAATCTTTTCATGCCCCCCGATATAATGTTTACATGAGTTCTTTGGAAAGAAAAGACAGGCCAGTGGAAGTCCTTCCTGGGAAAGTAGTCTAATGTGTTTGTGTCTTTCAGATTTACTATCTCAAATAAACGAGCAATGTAGATAAACCAGAGGACAATTTTACATATGAAATGAAGCTTGGTAAATCTGACCTTTCAGCATTGTTGGCCACCCTTCCTCTCTGCTAGGCAGGAACCCAGGGACTGGGGCTACATGAGCAGATAGGAGGGAAAGAGCCTGCCTTGTGGAGAACAGGGTCCAGGATGGGGAGGAGGCTGATCAACGCGTGAACAAAACAGCAGGGTTTTCATCCACCTGTTACCTAGAACAACCTCCTGTGCACGCGCCCACAGCCTACCTCGCTTGAAGGAAAAGGAGGGTTGGGTCATGTCACACTTCAACAACCAATTACCTCAATCCCATTGCATCTCCAAAATCACAAGATACAAATTTGAATAAGTCACATACACATCAAATATTTTTCTAGATCAGCTTTCAGGGGGCGGTGCATACAATCCAGGGAGCATGCCCAGTGAGTTGGGCCCATCCAAAAATAAAAGCACATTTAGGAGCCTCCTGCCCTTGAGGAGACCACCGAGAAGACTCCAGTGGAGACCACACTGGTTCATCTGCCACCAGTGTCTCTTTCAGAGCAAGGCATTGCATTCAAGAAGGTGCCTGGCACTTCCGTCACAAACCTGTTTGGGAGCGGCCACCCAGCTCTTCTGTGCATCAACCCAGAGAATCAAGCTGAAAGACTGGGGTTTATTTTGACTAGAGGGAGGTGACAGGGAAGCTCTGAGTCACAGAGTTCTGGTAAAGAGCAGATTCCCAGTGGGGTGGCACATTGGGAGGTCCTAGGCACCCAGGCATTGTGGAGGGGAGGAGGGTCCTGGAGACAGACTAATTCTCTGCTTCGGCTCTTCCACCCCAGCAGGGAGGTTGGGCTTCATGGGTGGCAAGCCAAGCAGCACTGGAGGGATTTACTCCAGTGAATTGTTAGCTCATGTTTTGACCATTCCACGAGCTAGTAGCCTACATACTGACAATTCAAAGAAACACATCCAGCAACGGGGCTCTGTTCTCAATAGCTGTTTAACAGCATGCTTGCATTTAGAAACCACAAGGAACATATGAATGTTGAATTTGATTGACTCTGATGTACCGGAAGACAGAAACAGATTTTTTTTAAGATGTAATTGCTGTCTTGGACACATTTTAGGGAGGCAAAAATGAGCCAGTGCCCACAGTACCTCCAGAAGTTCAAAGAAAGAAAGAAAGAAAGAAAGAAAGAAAGAAAGAAAGAAAGAAGGCTCAAGTTTCAAAAACAGGGTTGGGAATGAATAGATGACCAGAGGGAACAAAATTCCCAAGTCCTCCTGACAGTGGTCAGTTCAAATCACAGCTCCTCTCTCCCACGCAGAGCAAGGTTCTATCCCAATAGAACCCTGTGATGTGTGAGTGGGATAACTTCATCCTGAGTCTGTATGAAGCTGTTATGTTAAGCTGCTTCAACATAAGTGAGGCTGGTTTGGTCGTGGATTGAGAAGAATCCATCACCAAATTCTCGGCAGGATCATGGGAGACCTCGGTGTAGGACTACGCAGAGCTCACTCGGTAGAGGGTGATCCTGGCATGCGCAGAGCACTGGGTTTGAGTCCCAGCACCAAACAATCCTGACCTGGTGCTACACACGAGGTAGAAGAATGGCTATCAGGAGTTCAAGGTCAACCTGGGCTACAAGAGAGACTGTCCAAAAAGAGACAAAGAGGGAGACAGATCCTCAAGTCAGTTGACCACATTAAGAATTTGTCTTTTCAGTGTGTAGTTGGCAGATATTTGCAAAATTAAAATGCATTTATGATAGACAGACAGACAGAGACTAACAGAAACAGAGAAACAGGGAGAGACATACACACAGAGAGATAGAGACAGAGAGACAGAGAGAGACACATATACACAGAGACACAGCAGACACATACACACAAAGAGACAGAGACACATATACACAGAGACACAGAGAGACAGAGAGACACATACACACAAAGAGACAGAGAGAGACACATATACACAGAGAGACAGAGAGACAGAGAGACACATACACACAAAGAGACAGAGAGAGACACATATACACAGAGAGACAGAGAGACAGAGAGACACATACACACAAAGAGACAGAGAGAGACACATATACACAGAGACACAGAGAGACAGAGAGACACATACACACAAAGAGACAGAGAGAGACACATATACACAGAGACACAGAGAGACACATACACACAAAGAGACAGAGAGAGACACATATACACAGAGAGACAGAGACACAGAGAGAGTTTCCACATAGCCAAAATCTAAAGTGAGTGGCAGGTTCAAAGAAAGAACATCTAATAGGCTTAGAAAAAAAATGGGTTTTTAGTGACCAGAGACTGGAACTTGTCACTTGCCCTTATTCAGGAAGCTCTGTGTGGTCACTATGGTTTCACTCAGGGTTAAAAGAGGAAAATGAATGGTTAACGAAGAATCTAAAGAGCCTGCTTTTGGAGTTTCTTTTCTTCTAAGCTGTGAATAATTTTGCAGGGTACGGAGCCAGCCTCATGCATGCCCCGAGGCCAGCAGGCGCCAGGCAGGAGCAGCGCACGCCTCCCCTTAAAAAGGCCGAGGAGCCGCGGGATCCACCTGAATCCAATTACATCTGGTGAACTCCACCAGCTGAAACGGTTCAAGTTACACTAAGTTCGTAGCCTTCGTTAACCTTTCATGTGTTGAACGTTCAAGTGATGCTCATTACACTTTAGAATACTGGCCTGAATTTTATTAGCTTCGTTATAAATCACCGAGTTGATATTTACTCTTCCTTTTAGGCTTTCTAAGTATGTCTGGCATGGTGGTATAGATTTTCCTCCGTCGGTCCTTTGGAACAGATCTTACGTCAGTTGATCACGTTAAAAATTTGTGTTTTTGGTGTGTAGTTGGCAGATATTTGAAAATTAAAACGCACTTGTGGTATGAGGGTGGGGAATATTAGAGGGTTAAACTGGCAAAGATACATGAACCACAAGGGTTTGGATAAAGCAGTTAATAGTATTGAAGCTACAGCATTTCAAATGTTATTGTCCAATATCTGGACATTTGAAATAGTTAATATTTCAATTGCCCTCCCTTATCCTGAGGTGCGTACAATATTATTTCGCCCTTACTATTATTCTAGACAGTTTAGTTTTGAGGGGGAACAAAGTCAAAAAAAATTACACTGTGTTAGTGGCATTTAAACAATATAATATATTGTAAACACAACGAAATAAGGAATATAATGTATGAAGTCTTTTCATTGGATGGAAGCAATGTAATATATTGTAAACAAAACATGGCTCTTACATAATAAACGTTTTATACTGTTTGTATGTAGGAAACAAAAAAGGCACTGTGTTCTTTTCGTGTTGTGTGGGAGTCTTTGTGTGACTGCCAGCCTATGGAAATACACTTGGTCACTATTTCATGGTGAGGGAAGAGGTCGGCCTCAGCTCTCTCTCCTTCCTCCTCCTTCCCAGCCCTGCTACACCTTGTCATTTATTTCAAAACTCTGCCCTAACTGGGATGTCTTAAGCATGTCTCCACTTCCACCTTCTGTTTTATTGATGTAACGGAGTAGCTGAGACCAGTCACGGTTTAGGAATTCGGAAAGTCAGACATATGACTTCAATGTCTGATAAAGCCTTCGTGCTACTGCAGGCCATGGCGGAAGGCAGAAGAGCGATAAAGAAGGACGTCGCAAGAGCCAGAGGTAGCTGACCCTGGGCTTGCAGCAACCAAATGCTGAGACAGCTCACTCAGTGGCGAGAATACTCGCCAGTGGTTATGAAAGCAGGAGCTGAAGAATGCACTCACTGCTTCTCAGGTGCCCCCTCCAGCGGTTGTATTGGGAATTGCACTTCCACCATAGAACTCTGGGGGAGGGGCAGTCACTGCAAGTCCTAGCAACATCCCACCTGTGGGAGGCCTTCTAAGACCTGTTAAAGGTGTCAGAATTACAGTAGAAAGCACCACTATTTATTGTTTAACCTACTGACCCCAAGTACCCAATGTGTTAATTTACTATCCTATAAAGCAAACGTTAGTTTCCTTCATTATAGATACAAAGTCCAAGCATGGAGACAGTAAGATATTTAGCCTAGGTGACAAGTGATAGAGTTTCAACTGTGCCGCATGAGCCCAGCGTGCTAACAGTGGACTACCTTCCCTCTTTCCACACGCACCGTGAAACGCAGAAGGAAAATCCCAGAGAACAGCTTCCCAGCACGGTGCTCACCCTCATTCTCTAGGGGAGCATGGGCTTTACTTCATAAACTACCTGGACCCAACAGGGTTTCTTCCTGCCCGGGAGAGGCATGATCAGTTGTGTGGTGTAGGAGGCGCACGACAGGGAAAGAAGGCATGCAGAATTGCACACTCAAATAACCTCCACTGACCATCTGCAACCCTTTTAATCATGGACTCCACTAGAAATTTGTGGGAACAGTGGCTGGGAATGTGGGCTCAGCTGGCTGGCTGTTTGCCTGGCACACAGGAAGTGCTGGGCTCGGTTGTCAGCACCCCAGAAAACTGGGCATGATGGCACAATCTCTATTCTCAGCACTCAAGGAATGGAGGCCAAAGAAACAGAAGATCAAAGTCATCCTTGGATACACAAAGAAAGCTGCTGCGTCTGAGTGTGTGTGTGTGTGTGGGGGGGGTACCCTGGGAGGCTAGAACAGGGTGTCAGATCCCCTGGAGCTGAGAGAAGTCTGTCATGAGTCACCTGACACGGGCATTGGGAATGGAACTTCCGGTCTTTCACAAGAGCGGCAAGCACGCTTAATAAGTGAGCCATCTTTCTAACCCCACACACTGAGTCTGAAGCCTGTCTCTGTCTGTCTCAAAGGGGAGGAGACCAACATGTGCACCATAAGAGCCAGAAAAGTTTTAAATGGCAGACAGAAATATAAATATAAACTATAGTATTCATTTTCCATTTTACAAACCCCAAATTTACACACACACACACACACACACACACACACACACGCACATCCCAGAGGACACATCACATAAGTGGAGAAATACGAACTGAAATGACTTTAGAGTCAGTGACTCAAAAGAGATTTCAAACTCAGCAGCGTCTAGATGACCAGCTAAACGTAGGCTTCCCAGTAGGGAGACACCTGAACACCAGACTGAAGCAGGGCACAGGAAGAACACACATGTGTTAGAAGGAAGGGTGTTCAGAGATGTCTGATTTAAAATTCCATTGGATTATCTTGCTGGAAATGCCTAGTAGGCACTTGGAAATACAGTGAGGTGCTCAAGGCCAAGAACTAGTTCATTGTTAGCCATGTTATAAGTAAATCATGCTCATTGTAGATTGAACACTTTTGATAAACACACACACACACACACACACACACACACACACACACCTAGAAGCTTTATATAGCGAGCTGTGGTTTTATTCATTTGTGGTTTTAGGTTCTATATGTAATCAATACTCTTTGATACCTGCTCACCTACACGTGGCCTTTCTCATTTTGTTGAGCATCGAGGGTTCCTGTCTACCAGGTGCATTATGAATCTCCACCCAGAGATCTTCCCTTTGCTCACTTTGTCAATGTATGCAGAGCCACAACCGTGGAGACTGGCTTTAAGACAGTGACTGAGAATGGTGACTGTACAGGATCTGAAAGAATCTTTTATTCATATAAAGTTACTCATTTAGAGAAGTAGGAGAGCAGGGAAGGAGGAGAAAGGAGGTAATCGCACAAAATACTTCTATAAATATTTTAAGAGTTAAGGGGTAGCAAAATCGTTCAGCCAGTAAAGGCTCTTGCTAACTGACAGCCTAAATTTGATCCCCGGAAGTCACATGGTGGGAGGAGGGAGCCATGGCAATCTGAATGAGAGTGGCCCTCCAGAGGTTCAGGCATTTGAATGCTTGGTTTTCAGTTGGTGGAACTGTCTGGAAGGCTGATGGAGGAAGGTCATTGGTTAATTAATAAAGAAACTGCTTGGCCCTGATAGGTTAGAACATAGATGGGTGGAGTAAACAGAACAGAATGCTGGGAGGAAGAGGAAGTGAGGTAAGATGCCTCAGACAGACGCCATTTCCTCTCCTCTCTGGGGCAGATGCGATGAAGCAAGCCGCCAGGTCAGATATGCTGAATCTTTCCTGGTAAGACTGGTGCTACACAGATTACTAAATATGGGCTAGGCAAGATGTAAGAATTAGCCATTAAGAGGCTAGAACTAATGGGCCAAGCAGTGTTTATATGAATACAGTTTGCGTGTTGTTATTTCGGGGCATAAGCTAGCCAGACAGCCAGTAGCCAGGCGGCAGGAACGCAGCCCGCAGCTTCCTTCTACAGAAGGCTTAGCAAGTCTGGCCTTGGTTGGAGGACGGAGGAGTGTCACTGACTGGATTTAGAGCTTTCTAAAGCTTATGCTAGTCCCAGCTCTTGCTCTTTCTCGCTCTCTGTCTTTCTCTCATGTGTGTGTGGTCATGCACATGTGTAAATGCATGCCATGCTTCTGCATCCTATGTAAGCTCTCAGCTCCTGTTCCCAGAACATGCCTGTCTGCCTGCTGACATGCTTCCCTCCATGATGGTCGCAGACTGTAACCCTTTGGAGCTGTAAGCAAGCCCCCAGTAAACTCTTCCTTCTATAACTTGTCTTGGTCACGGTGTTTCTTCCCAGCGGTAGAAGAGTGGCTAAAATAAGAACCAACCCTGTAACCCTCTGACCTTTACATGTTTGCTAGGGGCATGAGTCCCTCCTCATGCAAAATATAAAAATAATAAATGTAAACATGATGAAAAGTTAAGGCACTAAGGGGAAGAGACTCTGAAGAGGCCTGAAAAGACGTGGACCATATGGCAAGATGACGTATCCAGGGAAAACGAGGAAATAAAATGAAGCTTAGACAACAAAGTGAGGAGGGGAGCAAGGCTAGTACCATGGGTAAGCGTGAGCCCCTGCCTCTAAGCTGCTTCAGCCCCTCCCAGAGGAAACCACCGCCAACCAGGCAGGAAGTCCCAAAGAGCATAAGTACAAGGTAAAGTCTTTGCTCAGACATTAAGCCACAAAGGAAAGAGAGATGAAGAGATGTGGAGTTGGGGCTGGAGAGATGGCTCTGTGCTAAGAGCACTGGCTGCTCTTACAGAGGAACAGAGTTCAGTCCCCAGCACCCACGGAAGGCAGCTCACACCCACTTGGAACTCCAGTTCTGGGGCACCCTGAGCCCTCTTCTGGCCTCCAAGGACACCAGGCATGTGCACAATACACAGACACACATACATACAGGCAGACACCCATACACACAAAACCAAACCAAATAAATATGTTTAAATGAAAGAGGAAAAAGAAGAGGGTAGTGGGTGTTGTGGAAAATCTGCTTTTTGCCATCCTTTAAAGGAAACACGTCCTCCACATTCACTGTAGAGAAGCTATGTGAAGAAGAGGTGAAAGAGAAAGGGTTCACTTAGGTCTCTGCTTCCCAGTCATTATCCCAAGACTGTCGCTTTCTACCACACTATGCAGTAACGTCCAGCCAGCCTACCCCAAGGGGAATTGACTAAGTCTTTTGATTTTTGAACACATTGCTTAACTCTTAACACAAACACACAAGCGCGCACGTGCATTCACACACACACACACACACACGCACGCACACACACACACACGCACACACTCACACTACCCCAAATGGTTCTTACTCTTCTCAATCATTGTCTTCCTTAAAGGACAGTTGGTTATGAGGCGTCTTCCCCATCTCAATCATGCCCAGTTTTCCCTGTGACCAAACAGTCCCAGACATGCTGGCCTTAAGTCTGCTCTAAATGAGAGAGGAGAAAAATGTCTCCTGTGGGTTCTCATGATTCTAGTGGCTCCCCCAAGGCTTTTCACGTGTTACTCAAATTCTTTCCCACTGAGCTCCATGCCCAGCCATTCCCCATGAACCCTCTGAAAGAGGTCAGGATGCCATGTATTACACGACGCTCTGAAGAACACACACACACACACACACACACACACACACACAGAGCAGCAAGTGGG